TTTTTAAATTTCAGGAGGAGGAGGAGGGGTTCCAATGGCTGAATTAATGGGCCAATGATCAGGACAGGCCAGGTGGTCTTTTACCTAAAACCTAAGATCAGTCTTAGTCTCCCAGCCTCTACTCTACTCTACCGCTTCTCTAACAGAGCACTTCTCAGACCACCACATGTCAAGCCTGGGCCAGAACCTGAGGTGAGCCCCCACTTCAAAGGTCCAGGAGGTATAGGCAGGCGACTCGGTGGTCCCAGATTTGTCCTTAGAGCCACCAACAGCAGCATCACGAGAGAGCCCATCAGAAGTGCAGAATTTTTTTTTTTTTTTAATGTTTATGTATTTTTGAAAGACAGAGAGCTGGCAACAGGCAGAGAGAGAGACACACACAGAATGCGAAGCAGGCTCCAGGCTCTGAGCTGTCGGCACAGAGCCCGACACGAGCCTAGAACTCAGGAACCGTGAGATCATGACCTGAGCTGAAGTCGGACGCTTAACTGACTAAGCCACCTAGGCACCCAAGAAGTACAGAATCTCTGCCTCTCCTCCTTGACCTACAGAGTCAGAATGTTGTTGTTGTTGTTTGACAAGATCCCCAGATAATTAAACTTTGGGAAAACCCCAAGGCATGGGCTGCTCTGTGACCTCTGACTACTGGAGTCCCACATGTGCCTTTCAGTGCGGGACTCAATGCCACCTCCTCCCCATGCCTTCCCAGATTGTCTCTCTCCCTGCCAGACATTATTTGATTGCCCCTTCTCCTGGGAAGGCTTGTTCATCTGTGATAGCATTCTACCCTTTTTTAAACTTGCTATTATGTCTCTCTCTGCCTCGTGAGCTTTTTGAAGGCAGGGAAGGGCCAGCCCATCTCTTTCCTCCTGAGGCACCAAAGCACAGTTACTTGCACACTGCCAGCAAACAGGGCCTCGGGAGCCACGAAAAACCCACACCCACAATTGCTAACTTGCTTGGCAGGATCTCCACGTGAAGGGCAGGGTGGCGCCACTCTATCCACTATCAACATCAATACTTCCACACTGGGGTGCTTGGGTGACTCATTCGGTTAAAAGTCTCTGGCTCTTGATTTCGGCTCAGGTCCTGATCTCACAGTTCATGGAATCGAGCCCCACGTCCGGCTCCGCGCTGACAGCCCAGAGCCTGCTTGGGATTCTCTCTCTTCGCTCCCACCCCCTCCTGCCCCGCTTGTGCCCTCTCTCTCTCTCTCTCAAAATAAATAAAAATAAACATTAAAAAAAATATATTTCCACACAGCAATCATAAAAGACACTTCTATCAATACATGGTTTGTGCTTCTATTTTAAGTCAGAGCATGCTGAGACGGGGGTCTTTAAGCACACATTTTGTGCGTCTCCTGATCGCTCTTGTTACAATTCTCTGCAGAAGCAGAGACTTGAATTCTCCATCTGAATTTCATGCCTGACTTGCAATCAGTTCACAAAGAAGTAGTTCATATAAGGGAAACTCCTCAACTTTTTTCTTCCCCCTGTAATTGGATCTAGTAATCCTGGGCAAGAAATAACACACTGTACTGATGAGTTACAAATGTTTCTGGTATGCTAACTTCAACCATATTTGTGTGGGAAGGTAACACCTACAATCTTAAATATTAAAAACGGTTTCAAGAATATGCAAATCTAATAGGCCACTCAATACAGCAGTGAACAAAACAAACAATCTCTGCTCTCTAGCCCATATTCTAATGAAGGAGAAGCTTTTAAAAATTAAATTAAAAATACAGTACGCGAGGCAGTGTTAAGTGCAAAGGGGGAAAAAAATCCAAGCAGGGAAGGAGAATGCAGTGTAACTAGGGCAAAGGTGTTTGAAATGTTAGGCAGAGTGACATGAAAGCTTCACCGAGAATATTCTAGATTTATATGAAGTTTATCATTTATCACAGTCTATTACAAACGATATTCAAATGAAAGAGAATTTCGACTGCCCCCATTCTGACCTCAGTCTGTTCTGATTGAGTTCTTCTTTCCAGTTTATCTCTTAACTTGGGCCAAACACCCTGTGAGCAAAGCATCCTGTGATGGAAACCGAAACTGTCCCCTCAAGCAACAGGCACTGCCCTGAGCCAGCAAGAGCCAGCAAGAGCCAGTGGGGCCGACCCCAAGACAATGATCAACCTGACCTTTACTGACCAGCTACAAGTACCCACCGACTTTTGTCCCACATTTTCCTTCTATAAACCTGGAAGCATTTTCAGCACGTGGGAGATGTCTTTGAGACGTCGTTCCTGGTCTTCCCAGGGCGCGCCTCCCTGAAATCAATTCCTTTCTTCTTTCCCCGCCACTCACCTCTGCCTTTGGACTTTGTCAGCGGCCAGTGGCTGAACCCAGTCTGTCTGGAACCCCCGGAGCCAGGTGCTCTTGCACCCCAGTTACAAAAGGATAAAATTAAACAGCAAATGGAGAGATACACAGGGCAAGGTCCAAAAGCGTCTCTAACACAGGAGCTCTGTCCTGCAGAGTTTGGAATGCACGGCCCTCCTGGCACGTACATACACATTTTGGTTTACCAGCCTGGAAGCTGTCAACTCTTGCCTTCAGAGTTTTTAGAGCTCGGTCTGCAGCCCCTTCCTAGAGGCCGGTGGGTGGGGCTGAACTCTCT